CTTCACGAGCTGTTGGAGAAATATTCTTAGGTCTTTAGTAAAGACGATTTCGATCTGGGACGCACCTCGTTGCTCTCCGACCATATTGATACCGGGGATGCTGCTCCCATTCGGATGAATCCACATCGGTTGAGCCCGGCGGAGAGGGATCATGTACGCGGCGCGGTAGATGATATGCTAGCCGCTGACATTATCTCTCCGTCCAACAGCCCGTGGGGCGCTCCGGTGGTCCTGGGAAAGATAAAGGATGGTAATTTACGGTTTTGTGTCGATTTTCGGAAGTTTAACAAGGTGTCGGTTGCGGACGCTTACCCCCTGCCGCGTATGGATGAATCCCTCGATGCCTTGTCTGGTGCGAAATTTTTTCTCCACTCTTGACCTTTCTTCGGGGTTCTGGCATCTCCCCCTGGACGAGTCCTCGAGGGAAAAGACGGCTTTCCGTACGCCGCAGGGCCTCTTTCAGTTTAATTGTCTTCCCATGGGGTTGAACGCCGCCCCTGCTACATTCCAGAGGTTGATGGAACTCGTGTTGACCGGTCTGCAGTGGGACACGTGCTTGATATATTTGGATGATGTTATTGTGTTCAGCCGTACGTTTGAGGAACATCTTCAGAGATTGGATGCTGTTTTTGCTAGGGTGCGTTCCACCAATTTGAAATTTAAGCCCAAGAAGTGTCACATTTTGCAACGATCTGTGCACTATTTGGGCCACATAGTCAGCTCTGACGGTGTGGCCATGGACCCGGAGAAAACGGCGTGCGTCCGGGACTGGCCGATTCCGGCCACGGTGGGTGACGTGCGTCGTTTTGTCGGGTTCGCTTCCTATTATCGCAGGTTCGTTCCAAATTTAGCCATGATCGCTAGGCCGTTGCACCTCCTTATGGCAAAGAACCGGAGGTTCAGCTGGGGGCCGGCGGAGGAGGTGGCGTTTCATGGCCTACGCGATCACTTGGCGTCAGCGCCGACGCTGGACATGGGGATTTGGGCCGTCCTATCGCAGTTTAAGGGTGGCGTCAAGCGCGTGGTGGCTTACGGGAGCCGCGTTTTATCTCCGGCAGAGACCCGCTACTGCGTTACCCGCCGGGAACTGTTGGCTATAGTGCATTTTGTCCATCAATACCGGCCGTATTTGTATGGCCGCAAATTTATTGTGCGCACGGACCACGCGGCTCTACAATATTCCCTGAAAGTTGACCAACCGTCTGGCCAATTGGCGCGATGGTTGGAAACTTTGCAGAAATTTTCGTGTGAGATTCAATATCGTAAGAGGTCGTGTCACGCAAACGTGGACGCGCTCTCCCAATTGCTGCAGGGATCCCCCTGCGCCTGTGCCTCTGGCACGAATAGATGCACGCGGATTCCACAGCCCCCGCGTCCTGTCGTGTCCGCTGTGGAGATGCCCGGGGCTTCCACGTGTCCGGAATCGGCCGACGGGGTTTTGAATTTGCCACGTTCCGTGTGGATTCGAGAGCAATTGCTCGATGATTCGCTGGGGGCCTTACGGAGTCGGGCTGCAAAGGAGAGGGGATATCCGTCGTCCGATGGGACGCCGGGAGCGGCTGTCCATGACGGCTTGTTGATGTGGAGGGAAGGCTTGCATGATCGCTGGCGTCTTGTTGTGCCGTCGTCGTTGCGATATGCGTTGATTCGGATTCTGCACGCTGAGTTGTTACATCTCGGGGTGCAGAAAACCTTGTTGACATTACAGCGGGATTATTTTTGGCACGGCATGACGACTGATGTCGTTGGGCATATTCGGGCGTGCTCCGACTGTGCCCGGCGGAAGCCGCCTAAGCAACCGTATGTTCCCCCAGTGCAGTCGATACAAAGTGTCGCGGGTTAACGAGTTGGTAGCGTTGGATATTCTGGGGCCCTTTCCCCCATCCGCTCAGGGGAACAAATTTTTGTTGGTCGGGGTTGAATATCTTTCCCGCTGGTCGATGGCCTGGCCCTTGCCCGACCAGTCGGCGGCGTCTATCACGGAGGCATTTCTGTTCGGATATGTGATGGACAAGGGGGCGCCGGAAAGGTTTCTTACAGACCAAGGGCGAAATTTTTCTTCCAACCTATTGCGGGATGTGTGCGACGCACTGGGGACTAAGAAGGTTCGGACGTCTCCCTACCATCCACAAACTGATGGGATGGTTGAACGGTTGAACCGGACCCTGTTGGCCATGCTCTGTCATATGGTTATTGAGAAGCAGGCCGATTGGGATTTGCATATCCCTGGGGTGCTCTCCGCTTACCGGATGGCGCTGCATGCGTCAACAAGATACTCACCCTTCTTTTTGATGTACGGCCACGAGAATGTGCCGCCAGCAGTAGTGCAACTTGGCAGGCGGGTGAGGGGTCCTGTTAAGCCCCTCCCCGAGTATTTTCGTGACGCCGCTCGACGCGTGGCGGAGGCGCGGGAGGCGGCCCGATTGGCTACGGCCAGGACCCAGGCCCGGAATGAACGTTGCGCCCGGCGCTCTCATTGTGGGTCCCCCTGGCGAGTGGGGGACATGGCCTGGCTCCACTGCCCACAGGTACCGGTGGGGACCTCCCCTAAGTTGCACAAACCCTGACAGGGGCCGGTTGTGCTTATTGAGGTCCCTAGCGTTCAGGTCGGATCGCGGCGTTGGTACGTTCACACGCCCTGATTGAAACCCTACATGGCCCCGCGAGTGGATGCGTCATCTCCTAATGTTGCCTTGCCGGTGTCTGCCACGTCCGATGCGCCACTGACTTTGCCTGTTCAACCTGCAAGCGCGCCTGTCGTGCCTCCTGTAGACGGGCCGGCTGTGATTCTGCCGGACACAGGGATTCCTGCACCAGGTGGGCCTACCACGGCGACGGGGACATTTGGCCCCACTGCCCCTCCAACCCCGCCGCGGTTGCAGTTGCAGGGGGCCCCGACTACGGACCTCTCTGGGGAGCGGGGTGCTGGGACGGACAGGCCTCCACCAGCGGCGGATGGTTCCAGTTCCGCCGCTCCTAAAACCCTGTCGAGACTGCGACCCGCACTCGTTCCAAATCCCTTCCCTTTCGTCAAGTGTGTTGTTGTTATACTCTCCGTGGTGTCTGGTGATTCCTGATTGTGATGCTGTCGCTCGCATTATTTTATCCTATTGCAGCCGGGACGGCTGGATTTTTCATCGGGGGGGGGGGGGGGGGGGGGGGGTCATGTAATGCGAGCGTAAATGGGGTTGTTGCTGGTCCAATCACGCGGCCCGGGGCATTGGGGGGCGGAGCCTGGTCTGCGGGGCGTGTGGGAGGGGCCACCGTTCATCTCGGCTCCAATGGGAGGCGAGGTGAATGGGGGCGGAGCCAGCGGGGTAGTATGGGAAGGCCGGATCTGATGATCCGGGAGGCGGGAGTCAGGGTCACGTGGGGGGAATGGATACAAGTGGGAGCCCGGAAGAGATCGGGGCAGTCGGGGAAGTTAAGAGGCTGCGCCACGTTGGGTGGTGAGGAAAGATCCGCGCCATCGGCCACGTGGCCGAAGGACCTCAGCACGCCGTCGGCCAGCGGTGTGCGGAGTGCGGGAATAGAAGAGCTACCAGAGGAGCGTGCGGGGCACGCGAGAGAGAGCGTGCGTAGCATGCGAGAGAGAGAGCGTGCGTGGCACGCGAGAGGGAGCGTGCGCGGGGCGCGCGTGAGACGACACTGGTCCGAGAGGAGGCCAGTGGGGGTGCGGAGAAGAACCTGAATAAAAGACAAACGGAGACCAGCATCGCCTTACGGAGTCTTTTATTACACTCCTACTGATGCTCCTGCTGTTGTGGAGTGACTCATGCAGCCAGCTATGGCTACAGGGTTTGGTGGTACATGTTTTTTTATATTGATTATTGTGAAATTTCGGTCACAGTTCCTATGATCACTGTTCCATTGCTTTTGGCTTTATTTTGGTGATTTCAAAAAGTTTTTTGGTTTCGCCATGTTTGTTTGTTGTAGTACGGAGTTAGAATGATGGCTTTAATCTAAGTTGTCTTGTGGTTGTTGTTGTTTGACTTGCATCCCATTGGGATTTTTGCACAGCGTTGGTGTACGGTGCTTTTTTTCTGGAAGACTTTGCAGTTTTTTCCTGGATTTTTCTGTTTGCGCGTAGTCACTTTAAGATGTTTTCTTGTTCATGTTTTTGTTTTTTGTTTGTTGCGGTTGCACCCGATTCAAGAGCCGAATGGCTCACAGGGCTATACCAAATAAATGAAACTTAAAAACTAACATTGCCCATAGACTAACATTGCCCATAGAAATGACTGCACATAGATGGAATTACGGCTGATATAGCTGCAGAGCAACAACCACAATCTATGTGCAGTGTTCATCTTATCTGCCGGCCTGACCACCTCAATGTGTCATTGCAAGTTGTTGTCGTTGTCTCTGCGTCAGCCTTGGCGTGCGACGAGACGAAGTTCCTCTCCATCCCGCCCCTCCCAAATCTCATTCAACGACAATCACCTCGCTCCATCCAAGACGTGTGACCATTACCCCCGTCCGTTGCAACGTTCACGCGAGTAGCTGTTTGTGGCTGGCCGCCTCGCGTGTTTGGGGCTGTCGGGCCCTGTGCTGAGCAACCGTTGGGTTTCTAAGAAAGAAAGAAACCCCGAGGATTCGCGCTTTCACGGAATACTGATGGCGTGAAGCGCCGACGATGCCGATGTGGATGATGATGATGTGGATAATAATTCGGATGATGTTGATTATGCAAGTGATGATTTGAATGATATTTATGATGATACGGTGATGAAGTTGTGGATGATGTTGATGATGTGGATGCGGATGATGTTGATGTTGATGATGATGCGGATCATGATGACTACTGATGCGGATGATGATGATGATGATACGGATGATGATGATGATGATATGGATGATGTTGTGGATGATGATGATGTTGTGGATGATGATGTGGATGATGATGATGTTGACGATGATGATGTTGACGATGATGATGTTGACGATGATGATGTTGACGATGATGATGAGAATGCTGCTGCTGCCTGGACCGCGCTCACCTCCGTCCAGAACTCCTCGTCCCATCGCGGGTCGTTGCTGCGGCTGCGAGTCTGCGTCTGCCCGATCCGCGTCTCGTCCACGTTGACCGCCACGTAGGGGTCGAGCAGCGTCGTGCCCTGGGCGCGGGGGCTCAGCGAGAGCCGCTGGGACCACGGAGTCGGCCTCAGCGCTACAGCCCCGCGCACGCGGACACGCAGCGAGCCCGAGAAGAACACCATGACCACCTCCCCCCCCCCCCCCGAGTCTGGCTGGCTGGCTGGCTTAATGAACCTCGCTACGGCTCACACGAGCCTCGCTACGGCTCACACGAGCCTCGCTACGGCTCCACAAACCTCGCTCTGGCTCACAGGACCCTCGCTCTGGCTCCACGAGGCTCGCTCTGGCTCACACGAGCCTCAGGAATGTCACCCAACGAGGCCTTCGTTGCAAGTGCCTTTGTCTGGCTCAATGAGCCTTGCTCTGGCTCTCAATGAGTCTCTGGAATTTCAGACGATGATGATGTCGATGATGATGGTAGGAGTGATAGTGGGCGATGCTACTGCCGATGCCACTGCTGACGATGATTGCTACGATAACAACAGTTGCTCAAAAGGTATCGGCGTGTTGACAATCTCGCTACACCTGCACCGCTTACATCACCGCCATCAATCACGCTAATGACGATGATGCTGCTGCTGTGGATAATGATGATGCTGCTGCTGCTGAGGATGATGATGATGATAATGTGGAGGAGGAGCTGTCAACCCGTCTTCATGAGGGTGATCTTCATCATCATTACCACTACCACGATCACCACGACTTGCAGCTGCTAATCTTGCGGACGAGATGATGACGATGTCAACCCCGAGTCCTCATCAACTCCGTCACGTGCAGCAGCAGCAGCAGCTGGGGAAGGGTAGCCAGGTGGGTGGTGGTGGTGGTGTGTTGATGTGTGTCCAACTTCTTTCGCACCGCACGTAGCCAAACGGTGCTAATCGCAGGTGATGATGATGATGTTAGACGTCAACACCTCTTTATCATCATCAACGTCGTGATGATGATGTTGGTGGTGGTCCTCGTGGTTCTGGCGATCCCAAAGAAATCCAGGCCGTTGTGGCTGCTGTCCGGGCGACAAAGAGGAGGGGGGAGGAGGAGGGGGGAGGAGGGGGAATCACATTTGGTCCCGGGCAGTTCCCCGCCCCCCCCCACACTCATTAAACCGCGCACGTGCCTGTGTGTGTATGTGTGTGTGTATACGTGTGTGTACGTGTGTGTGTGCGTGTACATGTGTGTGTGTGTACACGTGTGTGTGTACGTCTGTGTGTGTACGTGATCAGGCTGGCTGAGAAAAAGCGACATGCCCACTCTCATCGTCTACAGCATCCCACGTAAAAGAATGAGGAGACATGCCGCAGCCTTCGCTCGGAGGTTCGGAGAGCCGCGAGGCACTGCAAGGATGGGTGGTGGTCGCGGGTTGCTGATGAGATGGAGTCTGCCTCAATGGCCCGCGATCACAAATCGCTATTACCATCATTAGGAACAGGTTTGCAGATTTGCTGAGCATTTCTTTGAGGTTCTGTGAAGTCCTGGGGGAGGGGAAATCCCTCGGCATGGAAAACATCGTGGGACAGTGGGGATGACCCTGCTGAGGCTGCGGTGTCTCAAAAATTGGAAGAGGAACTCACCCCCTGTGAGTGGCTGGCTGAGGTGCCATCTGTTGAGGAAGTACTGAAGGTGATTCAGAGTCTGAGACCAGGAAAGGCACCGGGCAGAGATGATCTCCCAAGCAAAATGCTGAGGGAGGGAGGCGTTTGTGCACAGACTGCCTTCATGACATCATAACAACAGTCTGGACCACAGGACGGGTTCCGCAGGATTGGAAGGATGCCCTGGTGGTCTCCCTCTTTAAGAAGGGGACCGCACAGACTGTAACAACTACAGGGGCATCTCACTACTCAGTGTACCAGGAAAGGTCCTGGCAAGGAATATTCAACATCGCCTTGCCAGGCACGCTGAGTAGAGGCTTGCGGAGCCCCAATGCGGTTTCAGGAAAGGGTGGTCCTGCACAGATGCCATATTTTCTGTCCGTCTGCTACAGCAGAGGTGTAGGGAATTCCAACAAAACCTACAGCTCTGTTTTATTGACCTGGTCAAGGCCTATGATACCATCAGTAGGCTTGGGCTCTGTGTTATTCTTCGTGCTTTTGGAGTCCCTGACCCTCTGCTCACGATCATTAAGGACCTTCATTATGGTGAGCGGGCCCGGGTAAAGCTACGTGGCCGGGAGTCGGAGCCATTCCCTGTTCACCTTGGGGTGCGACAGGGATGTCCTCTGGCTCCCACATTATTTAACATCTTTTTCGACCACGTAATTTGTGAAGCCTTCGATGGCTGTACCGGAGGAATTTCCATCTGGTACAGATACAATGGGAGGCTGATTGATGCCCGGGTGTGGTCAAGCGATGGCTCCCGATTGGTCAACCACGTTATGTATGCCGATGATCTGGAAATTGCTGCTCACTCAGAGGAGGAGTTGGAGGAGCTGCTGCTGAACCTGGAGCTTGCCACTAAGAGGTGGGGCCTTACCATCAGCCCCACTAAAACTAAGCACCTGCCTGGGTATTTTGTACCATCGTACACTCCACCCCCACAGCTCCCAATTGGTGATGGGGCAGTTGTGGAAACAGTGGAGAGTTTCCCATGACCGGCTCCGGTTTGACAGCAGAGGTCTCACTCCGAATCAGTCGAGCGGCATTATTTTTTCATCGGTTGCATAATGCTGTGTGGAAGCTACCTGGTCTGTCAATCCGCACGAAGCTTCGGGTCTTCTCGGCCACGGTTATTCCCTCCCTTCAGTTTAACACGTAGGCTTTCGCGACCAATATTATTCATAATCAACGTTTTTGGATTAGGTCGTGTTATTTATAAATGTGTCGTAACCCTCCACCACCCGACACGGCCAATCAGCAAAAAAAGTGTCACGTTGACAAAAGACAAATAGTTCACTGCTTTAGCCCACCGGTGTGTTGAAGCGTGAAACCACAACATTTACTTATTTTTTTAGTACTGTGACGTTTCGCTGTTAATTTCATCCAGCATCATCGGGCAATTCACCAGAATGGTGAGGCTCTGCTCTTGCTCCCGGTCTTAAATAGAGCAGCAGCAGGGTGACGTCATCATTAACTCATCAGGTGCAACGATTTGGGGCGGAGGGGGGGTATTGTAATTATATACTAGATTAGTAATCAGGCAATTGTTACGATGTTAGTTGTAGATTAGTAATTAGTTGTAATGTGTGTTATTGGAATTATATGCTACGTTAGTAATCAGTTAATTAGTGTGTGTTTCCCCTATAAGGAAGTGTAATATATATTATTTAATAATACGCTTCCAGGCCGCACTAAGCCTGTAGCTGTCTGAGCGGTTAAAGTTATTTCTGTTTCTCTCAATTTCAATGGATTCTCTAATTAGTCTTTGCCAGTAGTAACTAGTTTTACACAACACTTCAACGTTATCAAAATCAATTGAGTGTCCCTGTTGGCAAGCATGTTCTGCCACTGCCGACAGATGTGTTTGAGATAATTTAATATTTATCTGGTGTTCTTTTAGTCTTACACTAATGTTACGCCCCGTCTGTCCAATATAGCATCTGCCACATAAACAATTAATCCGATATACACGTTCTGTTGATAATTTAGGTAATTCGTCTTTAGTGCAAGTTACTAGTTTTTGAATTTTGTGTACTGTACCAAATATTACTGTAATGTTTTGCTTTTGCAAAACACGGGCTAATTTGTCAGTTACTCCTGCTGTTTGTGCTGTGTGTGCTGTGTCTGCTGTGTGTGCTGTGTCTGCTGTGTGTGTCTGCTGTGTGTGTCTGCTGTGTGTGCTGTGTGTGTTGTGTCTGCTGTGTGTGCTGTGTGTGTGCTGTGTGTGCTGTGTCTGCTGTGTGTGTGCTGTGTCTGCTGTGTCTGCTGTGTGTGCTGTGTCTGCTGTGTCTGCTGTGTGTGCTGTGTCTGCTGTGTCTGCGGTGTGTACTGTGTGTGCTGTGTCTGCTGTGTGTGATGTGTGTGCTGTGTGTGTCTGTGTGTGCTGTGTCTGCTGTGTGTGCTGTGTCTGCTGTGTCTGCTGTGTGTCTGCTGTGTGTGCTGTGTCTGCTGTGTGTGTGCTGTCTGCTGTGTGTGCTGTGTCTGCTGTGTCTGCTGTGTGTCTGCTGTGTGTGCTGTGTCTGTGTGTGTGTGCTGTGTGTGCTGTCTGCTGCGTGTGCTGTGTCTGCTGCGTGTGCTGTGTGTGCTGCGTCTGCTGTGTGTGCTGTGTATGTGTGCTGTGTGTGTGCTGTGTCTGCTGTGTGTGATGCGTGTGCTGTGTCTGCTGTGTGTGCTGTGTCTTCTGTGTGTGCTGTGTGTGTGCTGTGTCTGCTGTCTGTGCTGTGTGTGCTGTGTGTATCTGTGTGTGCTGTGTGTATCTGTGTGTGTCTGTGTGTGCTGTGTGTGCTGCGTCTGCTGTGTGTGTGTGCTGCGTCTGCTGTGTGTGCTGTGTGTGCTGCGTCTGCTGTGTCTGCTGCGTGTGCTGCGTGTGCGGTGTCTGCTGTGTGTGCTGTGTCTGCTGTGTGTGCTGTGTCTGCTGTGTGTGTCTGTGTGTGTCTGTGTGTGTGTGTGCTGTGTGTGTGTTGTGTGTGTGCTGTGTGCTGTGTGTCTGTGTCTGCTGTGTGTGCTGTGTGTGCTGTGTGTGTGCTGTGTGTGCTGTGTCTGCTGTGTGTGCTGTGTCTGCTGTGTGTGTCTGTGTGTGTCTGTGTCTGCTGTGTGTGCTGTGTCTGCTGTGTGTGCTGTGTGTGTCTGTGTCTGCTGTCTGCTGTGTCTGCTGTGTGCGCTGTGTGTCTACTGTGTGTGCTGTGTGTGTCTGTGTGTGCTGTGTGTCTGCTGTGTGTGCTGTGTGTGCTGTGTCTGCTGTGTCTGCTGTGTGTGCTGTGTCTGCTGTGTCTGCTGTGTCTGCTGTGTGCGCTGTGTGTCTACTGTGTGTGCTGTGTGTGTCTGTGTGCTCTGTGTGTGCTGTGTCTGCTGTATGCGCTGTGTCTGCTGTGTGTGCTGTCTGCTGCGTGTGCTGTGTGCGCTGTGTGTGCTGTGTGTGCGCTGTGTGTGCTGTGTGCTGTGTGTGCTGTGCCTGTTGTGTGTGCTGTGTCTGCTGTGTGTGCTGTGTGTGTGCGCTGTGTGTGCTGTGTCTGCTGTGTGTGCTGTGTCTGCTGTGTGTGCTGTGTGCGCTGTGTCTGCTGTGTCTGCTGTGTGTGCTGTGTCTGCTGTGTGTGCTGTGTGCGCTGTCTGCTGTGTGCGCTGTGTGTCTACTGTGTGTGCTGTGTGTGTCTGTGTGTGCTGTGTGTCTGCTGTGTGTGCTATGTGTGTGCTGTGTGTGCTGTGTCTGCTGTGTGTGCTGTGTGTGCTGTGTCTGCTGTGTGTCTGCTGTGTGTGCTGTGTCTGCTCTGTGTGCTGTGTGTGCTGTGTGTGCTGTGTGCGCTGTGTCTGCTGTCTACCTGTCCGGTGGCGATGGTCGCACGGGACGAGGAGGAGGTGGAGGAGGAGGTGGTGGAGGACGAGGTGGAGGATGAGGGGATAGAGGAGGTGGTGGTGGAGGTGGTGGTGGAGGTGGTGGAGGTGGAGGAGGGCCCTCTCGGTGGAGATGGAAGCGGCGGCGATGGTTCTGAAGCCACGGATAGCGACTCTCCTTGTTTACTGATGATGCTGATGACGATGCTGCTGCTGATGATGCTGATGACGATGATGCTCCTGCTAATGATGATGATGCTGCTCCTGCTGCCGATGATTATGATACTGATGGTGCTGCTGATGATGATGATGCTGCTGATGGTTATGATGCTCCTACTAATGATGCTGCTGATGATAATGATGATGCTTCCGCTACTGCTGATGCTGCTGATGGTGATGATGGCTGCTGATGATGGTGCTGATGATGGTGCTGATGGTGATGATGGCTGTTGCTGCTGATGATGGTGCTGATTGTAACGGTGGTGCTGATGATTATGGTGCTGATGATTATGGTGCTGATGATTATGGTGCTGATGGTGATGCTATTTCTGATTATGGTAATGCTGACGATGGTGCTCCTGCCGATGGCGATGGCTGCTACTGTCACTCCTCCGTCTCGCGGCGAGGATTTTTCTCGGCGGTGACGCGGGGAGCGAGAGGCGATATCTGCATGGACGCGCGCTCTCTCCCTCTCTCTCTCCCCTGCCTCTCCCCCTCCCTCCTCCGTCTACCTCTCCTCTTATCTCTTGCTCATCAATCTCCTCTCCCTCGCCTCTACCTCTCCTCCCTCCGCTCTTCCACTTTCTCCCTCCCCTCTCCCGCCTCTCCCTCCCCTCTCCACCCTTCTCCCCTCTCTGTGCTCCCCCTCTCCCGCTGTCTCTCTCTCTCTATCTGTGCCCCCCCTCTCCCACTGTCTCTCTCTGTGCCCCCCCCCTCTCCCGCTCTCTCTCTCTCTCTGTGCCCCCTCTCCCACTGCCTCTCTCTCTCCCTGTGTGCCACTGATCAGAAGACGGCGACGCGCCCGCTGGGCCCCGCGGGCTTTGTGATCTCGCCTCCCGGGGGCCTCCGCCGCGTCCTCCTCCGCTGCCTCCCAATTACCGGCACGATCTCGCAGCAGCAGCAGCCGCGAGCCCCTCCACCACTCCTCAAACAGCCCCGCAACAGCGCCCCGCCCCCCAGCCCCCCCAGCGAGATGAGAGGCCTCGAGGAGACAGAGAGAAGCTCCCCCACCAGCCCCCCAACAGCCCCCCCTCCACTCCCCCACCAGCCCCCCCTCCAGCCCCCCACCAGCCCCCCACCAGCCGCTCTCCCCCAGCGAGATGAGAGGCCTCCACGAGACAGAGAGAAGCTCCCCCACAATGTGGGCAGTAGAAGCAGAGACTACGCCAGATTATCACCACTCACCACGACCGCTCACCTCCACCGCTCACCTCCACCGCTCACCACCACCGCTCACCCCCACCACCGCTCACCACCACCGCTCACCTCCACCGCTCACCACCACCGCTCACCCCCACCACCGCTCACCACCACCGCTCACCTCCACCGCTCACCTCCACCGCTCACCACCACCGCTCACCTCCACCGCTCACCTTCCACCGCTCCCCTCCACCGCTCACCTTCCACCGCTCACCACCACCACTCACGTCCACCGCTAACCTTCCACCGCTCACCACCACCGCTCACCTTCCACCGCTCACCTTCCACCGCTCACCAACACCGCTCACCTTCCACCGCTCACCACCACCGCTCACCTTCCACCGCTCCCCTCCACCGCTCACCTTCCACCGCTCACCACCACCGCTCACCTCCACCGCTCACCTCCACCGCTCACCTTCCACTGCTCCCCTCCACCACTCACCACCACCACCGCTCACCTCCACCGCTCACCACCACCGCTCACCACCACCGCTCACCTCCACCGCTCACCTTCCACCGCTCACCACCACCGCTCATCTCCACCGCTCCCCTCCACCGCTCACCACCACCGCTCACCTCCACCGCTCACCTTCCACCGCTCACCACCACCGCTCACCTCCACCGCTCACCTTCCACCGCTCACCACCACTGCTCACGTCCACCGCTCACCTCCACCGCTCACCTCCACCGCTCACCTTCCACCGCTCACCTCCACCGCTCACCTCCACCGCTCACCTCCACCGCTCACCTTCCACCGCTCACGTCCACCGCTCACGTCCACCGCTCACCTCCACCGCTCACCTTCCACCGCTCACCTCCACCGCTCCCCTCCACCGCTCACCACCACCGCTCACCTCCACCGCTCACCTCCACCGCTCCCCTCCACCGCTCACCACCACCGCTCACCTCCACCGCTCACCTTCCACCGCTCACCACCACCGCTCACCTCCACCGCTCACCTCCACCGCTCCCCTCCACCGCTCACCACCACCGCTCACCTCCACCGCTCACCTTCCACCGCTCACCACCACCGCTCACCTCCACCGCTCACCTTCCACCGCTCACCTCCACCGCTCACCTCCACCGCTCACCTTCCACCGCTCACGTCCACCGCTCACGTCCACCGCTCACCTCCACCGCTCACCTCCACCGCTCACCTTCCACCGCTCCCCTCCACCGCTCACCTCCACCGCTCACCTTCCACCGCTCACGTCCACCGCTCACGTCCACCGCTCACCTCCACCGCTCCCCTCCACCGCTCACCACCACCGCTCACCTCCACCGCTCACCTCCACCGCTCCCCTCCACCGCTCACCACCACCGCTCACCTCCACCGCTCACCACCACCGCTCACCACCACCGCTCACCTCCATCGCTCACCTCCACCGCTCACCTTCCACCGCTCACCACCACCGCTCACCTCCACCGCTCACCTCCACCATTCACCGTCACACCATCTAAATCATCTACATCATCATCGCCGACTCACCACTGAATCGCACCAGTACACCTGTTATCGAAATGACGACCTTTTTGATCCTTACCCCTTCTTCAGGACACGAAGGTAGAGGGGAGAGTGTAGAGAAAACGAGATAGACTTAGCGAGAGATAATGAGAGAGAGTGAGAGCGAGAGACAGCAAGAGAAAGCGCATGAGAGAGAGAGAGAGATTGGGAGAGAGAGAGAGAGCGGGAGATATAATTTAAAGCAGTTTTATTGCTGCCAGCAGCAAAAACACTGGAGCCGATTTCGATACAAAGTCACATCGAGTACACGTCACAAACACTACCCGCGGCATGTGGCGCTGCACGCACAACGCACAAAACACAAACACCGCATCGTTAAGCTCGCCACGCGCCACCCATAATCGCGTTAAAAAGTTCACTCGAGATTTCCGTTTTAACCGGCTTGACTGGCCCCCCACCGTTCAAAGAACCACGGCGCAACTTCCCCGGCATGGAGTGGACCGCATGCTCCAGCTGGAGCCGCGCCTTGACCAGGCCCCTCGGCACCACAGAGCAGCCACCAGGGTCGCCTTGCAACATGTTATTCCCGGTCTTCTGAACTGTGCCATCTTTGCTTGGGCACAGATGAAGTTTGCAAAATCGTGGTTCTTATTTGCCAGGCAAGGCATCCCCCCCCCCCCCCCCCCCATCTATGAAACTGCTTTTGTTTAAAGGCACTTCCAGTCTCCTGAAAATGGACCCCAAAAGCCGGAACATTGGTTTGCGCCATGGACAACCCCAAGTACTGGTGGGCCAGATCTTCCCTGGCACCCAGACCGTGCACGAGTCTGGGGGCCCCTGGGGAGATTCGTCTGAGCCACACGGCTACGGGCACCGTCCAGTGCGCTAACCTTCACTGGAGGTCACCGCAACATTTGGCTACAGGAGGTTTGTACATCTGCTGCCACTGGGGGGGGGGGGGGGGCGGTCTCAATTCGGGGAGATAAATGATCTCTCCATTTGGCATCTTGTAGGTTCGCCAGGTCCTGAATATTCAGCACCTTCCATGCAGCAGGTGTAGAACGCTTCTTTGGGGCACTCTTCAGGGACACGTCCCAGCAGCCTCCCAGCTTAAGCGGCTTCCCAGAGTCATTGTGCCCGGGCCATTCACGAGGATGCTGATTGTTCCCAACCTTACTGAGGTGAAGCATATAGCCAGAGTCCTCTCTCCTCTGATCCCTTTGAAGAGGCCATTGGAGACCAATGCCTCGTGTGCGCTCTGCTCCACTCAAAGCTCCGCCACACATCCAAAAGGCTCTTGTAATATTCTGGCAGCCTCGTGTAGTCGACCAGGCCCAGGTCTGACAGAAAGAGCTCCTTTCCGTACCCCAGGCGTCCTCCAGGGTCACTCAGCAGACTGAGGGTCGGCGACTTCCAGGGTAGCTCCTGTTCGTACTGCAGCCGCCTCATGCCCAGAAGCCTGAAGATCATCACCCTGGCCACCCTCATCCACTGGCAGGCAGATAACCCCTGGCATCAGCCAGTGCTTCCCGTGCCATACAAAGTGCGCGAGTGACCGGTTTACTCTCGTGAGTAGCCAGCCCGAAGGTGGGAGGGCTTTGGTCTTGTGCCACAGCACGAATGCTGCCAGGTGAATAGCGACGAGCACTCGGCCCCTAAAGGGCATCTGTGGAGCGAGGCATGCCCATGCCAGCAATTTACCCTCAATTATGTTGGTCAGCCTGGTCCAAGGTATTTGGTACCGTCAGCCTACTAACTGACTCTTCCTGGGAGGAGCACAGATCGAGAGAGCAAGAGAGAGCAAGAACAGTAGAGAGAGAGATATATGGAGAGAGAGCAGAGAAAGTGCATGGTAGTGTCCGTGACCCAGAGTCTAGGTCACCTGTGGCCTGCGTGCCACAGCCGACGAGGGGTGGCCTTGAATTGATAACACCAGTGACGTCATGAGCATGGGGGGCACCAGGGGGGGTACCTTGCCCCCCCACACGGTGGCCAAAATTACGAATTGGCGGGGGACCATGACAACCACCAATGAGATTTGTTGTCAACACTTTAGTATGGGTAGTAAAAGTTTTCTTTTTTTGTTAACTGTGATGTAACGTAACTTTTCATTTGAACGCCAGTAACAAGTAAAATAACGTGGGATGTAGAACTCCGTTTTTATCGGGATATTTATTTCATTTTAGATATGCATCTAAAATAGTCCAAAGAGATAATACTACTACTAACTACGGAGCTGTTAATGGCCGCATTTTATGCGAAAATGGGAGCACGCCACCCGACAGCATTAAATGTTCGAGACCGTGAGCTATAACGACGACGATGTGACTCAGGCTACTACACCACTGATAATATAGGTACTAAACCAAGGATAATGGAGCAATTACGCCACTGATAATGTAGTTACAACGCCACTGATAATGTAGCTACTACACCACTGGTGATATAGTTACTACGCCACGGATAATGTAGCTACTATGCTACTAATAATATAGCTACTACACCACTGATAATGTAGCTACTACACCACTGATGATATAGTTACTATGCCATGGATAATGCCGGTTCTACGCCACTGATAATGTAGTTACTACGCCACTGGTAATGTAGTTACTACACCACGGATAAGTTACTACTACGCCATTGCGAATGTAGTTACTACGCCACTGATAATGCATATTGGTGTCAGAAGTGGTACGACCCCCCACACCGCCAAGGGAGAGAGGCACTTCACTCCATGCTAATGTGAGATGTGTATTCACCGGCCAAGTGATTCCTTCATTGAAATCGTTTGCCCGCAACATCACATGTGCTAAAGAGATT